GTTTGACACCAAAATTCGAAAGTGCTAGGGAAATGTACCTGATTATTTATATACTTCAATACAATTGTTGACTGTTAAATTTTTTCGTCTGTAATCAGTTATTTCAGTTCCATAGCCGCATTCAGTTTTTATCAGCTATGATTAGTAGGATTCGGAAATTATTGCACTTAATAGTTGTGTAATTAGGGCATCATCTTATCAAATAATATTTCCACCGCTGCCATCACAATCGACAAAGCCTAAAATAACCATACATTATTAATTATTATTATAATATTATTCATACATTAATATCTGATACGGTCTCAAATCGTTATTTAATTTATTATGTAAAAAAAATTTAAACAAGTGAATAATATTTAAAAGTAACCAACAATGTATCATATATTAAATTATAATACAGTAGAACCTCGATTATCCTGAGTAATGGTGGGGAAGGGTAACACGGATAAATGAAAAACACGAATGATCAAGACATTTTATTAAACGAATAATGAAAATGATGTTTTATTTGATCAATTCAAATCCACAAATTTTGCGGAATCGTTTTTTACCGTTTTTAGGTACGGAAAATGTAACTAACTCACACCTTATCTGTTCTTTGTTTAATAAAAAATTGCAATTTTACACAAAAAAAAAGTTAAAAATATAAATAAAACAACCCCCAGCACAGAGACCGACTCGTCCACCGCTGTACGTGGGCGTACGAACGGTGCGGAGAAAATGTATTTTACACGTGGGGGCCAGCAGCTATCATAATGAAATTATTATTATATTATAAGTATAATACGCATTAATATATCGTCAACGATCTACATGCACGGAATTGGATGCAAGAACAGCAGAACTAAAAATCTCGCGATTGATCGATTAATTATTATATTCGTTGTGCAACGCGTATAGGATATTGTTAATATACATTTACACTGTATACCAGTGAATTTAAATAGCTGTTATTAATATTTTAAAATGCTCATAATTCACTTAAAAATTAAAACATCATAAAAAACCGTCGAGAGAACACAGATAATGTTCTTACCGAAAAGTTTGATAATAGGTCAGTTCACATTAATATTAAAACTAAAAGCACACCATTTGAACTGGTGAATGAAAATTTACTATGTCGAATGTGTGTATGACCGAGACAACACATGCGGGTACGGCGTCCTCTTAAACAATGCGCACAGTAATGATGAGTATACGATGTACGTGTATATCAGCGGTTCTCAAAATGTTCTGTTCCGCGAAATACTAAGGCTCGGCGAAAGTAATCTAGGGGCAGACCAGGGGCGAATTTATGAGGAGGCGATATGATGATGTACCCCATCGATATTTTATTTTAATCGCGGATAAATAATAATATTCGGATGAAAAATGTGCGCTCGAAATCCAAAATGTTTTGCATGTTCGATCGTTATTTATGGTTTTTAATATGTAGATAAAAACATATGGTCAAGATGGACGAAAACAGACTAACTGGAGAGGCTTTATTATACACACACACACATAAAGATATAATAGTCAATATAGAATTATTAGATTATTATTATGAAATAAAGGTACTTATAGTTGAAATCGTATTACACCGGAATTAAATATAAAATTCGAATATTTTTATTAGATAGATTGTTATGTTTCTATACATTTTATGCGTTTAAATGCATAAGCAGCTTTCAACTTTTTCCGTTCAACCGAAATATCGAAAAACTGGTAAACGATAAAAATTATAATAATATCCTTGTGAACGCTAATGGGCCCCGTACAAATTGCGTTTTTTAAACATAAAAATGTAATTAATTGATTTTGTACCTATACGACGTACTAGTTAAAAGAAAAGCATTGATAAGCGAATTGTAGACACGTGAACACTTGTTACGGTTTAAAATTAATATTTCTGGTTTCCTATGGGCTTTTTTTCTTTAATATCATTAAAGGGACCACGCGGATAAGTTTGAGAACCACCGGTACGTATACAAGCAGTGTACAAGGATATATATTACACCAGTTGCACTGTGTATGCATGCGCTGCAACAATCATTGTACATGGAAACGGTATAAAGTTGATGACGTTGCCGATGAAGACGATTACAACGACTACGACCGTACCAACGATAATGTATGAATGTATATAGCTGGTAGTCTCCCGATTATTGTGACCGTATTATTATTAATATTATTGTTATTATTACATACACCTACCCGCTGTTATATCGATTACTTTCATAGTCATAGTCCATTATGATAGGCACATCTACGAATACGCGCATTATACACGCGCGTGTATTTAAAATAATACACCAAAGACATTCGTGATGTACAATAACGTGCTGTACAACGGATTACAATGGAATACGCGCCGGAGTCCTTTATTATTGATGTCTTATTACATACATTTTCTATCCACGCGTATAAACATGTTGCGTAGAATAATATCGTTATTATTATTTTTTCCGTACGTACATTGTGCAGCGTGCGCGCACCCGTCTATCCGCCGCATATACCATACGTTATTATTATATTATCATCGCAAACTGCTCGATTTTCTTACATCTTCATGCGTACACGCGTATGCATGCCGTGTTCTACATAAAGTGGTCGCCGCTCGATGTAATCACTGTTAAAAGTTATCGAAAAGTACGGGCCGGACTACTTGTATATGTGAAAAATTATGTCGGTTTTTGTAATTAATACACCGCATAATGTTATCAGTTTGTAGCAATTTGAGGAGATTTTATTAACGATCTTTTAATGGAATAAAAAAAAAAAAAACAGTGATCAATAAATAAAATAAATAAAAAAAATTTTCGAGTTAGTAGTAGTTAATAGAGACCATAATTGTTGTATGCACTCTTCATATAATATATAACATATTTATTAAAAAAATTGTTCTTCATTAAAACCACTTTTATCAGGACCGTATTCAGGTCTGGTGTCGCCCATGGCGAATCACTGTATTTGGCCCCTCCCACAATGGGAAATTTGCATTTTTTTTCAAAAAATCATTTGAGAGGTATAAAGCATGTATAAAGCATGTATAAAAACATAGTACACAAGGTAATAATTATTAGTGATGGACAACGATATCGATATCGTGACACATTTTCGACACTGATATCGTTCTATAGTTAGTTGAATAGATCCTAGAACTAATATACCGTCCGCAGTTATAGATGAGCGCCTACGTGAGTCAAAAATCCTGGTAGAACCATAAGTACCATAATATTTCATAGAATAAGTCCAAATTTGTCGCAAGGTACACTAAATGATATAAAACATGAATTGATATACGATGTATATTAAGTTATATCGTTTAAGACTTCTCATTTAATTATTTCTTATTAAAATAAAATATTATTATTGTAATATAGCGGTGTGTCGCTGTTGATAAAACATCTTAATGATGTATAACCGAAATGCAAACATTGAAAAACAATGGTGTAGAGTAATGTCCAATACTTTGTATATGATTTGTCAATCAACTTTTGCGTCACTATTTACTATTTACTAATACGCTATTAACAACGAAATAACTATTTTTATTATTAGAACGAATTAGAACTGCTTCTTGCAGGAGACATTTTACTATTTCTTATTAAAGCAATTACATTTTCGCTATACATATATATATATATAAAGCGCTGTCGTATATTAAATTTTAATGTTTAATATTAACATTCTTCTGGATCAGTGGTAATCATTAAAATAAACAGGTTAAAAAAATCATTTCTTGGTAACCCGAAAACCGACTAACCGTGCACACCGCCCAGCATAAAGTCCATTATAAAACAAACGAAAAAAAAAAAATAAAACCATTTCAAAAAAATTTTTTTTCGACGCACTGGCGAACGTTCCTTCAAAACGTCAAACGAAAACGCCGCCGATCGGTCGGTGAGCGATTGGGTATTCAAATTCCGTGCACAGGGATTAGTTTAGCATTATCGTTCTGTGCGCAAATCCAGAAGTCGACCGTTATCGTTGAAAAACTAACGGTTTGCACACAATTAATCGTATATATAAACTGTATATCCGAACGAGAGTGGGGAAAGGGGTCGTTCGAATTACCAATTTGTTCTGATTATAGTTTAATAAAAACATCGATTTTATTGTAATTTAAACTATGAAATGTATTTTTATTCGTACTAACCGTGTAAAAACTTGTGATTTAAAAACTACACATGTATGCATGTAATGTGTATGTATGTATACATGTAAAAAAGTATTTGTTATTTTTTTAGACTTACCAAAGGCTTTTGACACGATACATCAAATAATAATAATATATAATAATAATATAATAATAATAATACATCAATAATAATAAATAAATAATATATATTTAGATGAAATATTTCTCAAGCTCGTTCGGATTATCGAGACTCTACTGTGTATGCTCGTACGTAGCATTGTACCTGAGCGCAATTCAGAATCGCACCGGATACAGTAATATGTTTATTTAACCGCCGCCGTCGACGGATCGATTTCTCCGGTTCGTGCCCGCACGTTGTGCACCTACACGAGGAGACGCGCACGCACGTAACACACACGAGCCGTCATTAATTTACATTTCTCGTTTTGTCTTCGGTCAGCGCGACTGCACATGTGTGTAAACGAATTCCGTGTCGGTGTGCGGCGACCCTTGTGCGCATACTACACCGGTCCGCGGAATAAAGACGGCGGCGGTGGCGGCGACGGCGAAGAGAAGCGTAAAGCGAAATGCGTGCGCGAGACGAGGATGAGGACGGGCGAGGACGGGTAGAGCGAGCGGGAGGGGCGGGCGGCATGTACAGCACCGATCGGAGACGGTGAACGCGGGCAGGGCGAGAAAGGAATGACGCCGCGGGGCAGCCGAACAGCTCAATCGGCGTGTGCGGCCAATAGTGCGGGGCTGCGGCCGGGTGGGCGTGATTGGACGGGCGCGGCCGTTGGTCTGTCGGGCCCCGCGTAACCATGGCACACGGTCGATGCGGGCGGGGCTTGCGCGCGCGCTCGGTGATCGGACGGCCGCTACGACCGCGGCGCCGGTAGACGCGTTCCGACGACGACACGATTACAAGAGATCGAGCACCGGAGACGAGTCGATTGCCGCCGCCGCCGCCGCCGTTTTTCGGGTAACACGCGCGGCCGACCGCCGGCGCACGGAATATTATTCGCACGCGATCACGATTATTTACCGTCGTCATGCCGCGTTGTTCTCCGGGCGCGTAACGCCGTGGCCGTACCAGTTTTTGGTGGGACCGACGACGGTTTTTTTGTTGTTTTTCAATTTTTTCAATTTTTCTCGCACGACCGCGAGCGTTATACTAACCAACACTACGTGCGAAGCGGGTCTCGCACGATAGAGTGATATGGCTTTGGAGACGGAACGTTGCAGCCCGAACAACGCTTCTAGTCCCGGGCCGACGGACAACAACCGACGCCCCGGGTTGGACGATTGCAGCGATCAGACCAAGGAAATGTCACCGCACGCGCGTTGCAAGACGCCTCCTCCGTCCGCGTGCGACGACGGTGACGGCCGCCCGGTGGTACCGGCTACCGTCACCGCGACGGCCACTTCGGCTTTCCGATCGGTACGCGAGGGCGCAGTGCCGGCCGCTACCACCGCGGCCAACGACAACGACGACGACATCGACGACCACGACCACGACGACCACAGCCAACTGCGGACACCGGCGGACGCGTCCTTACTACTGGCCTGCAGCAAACCGTTGAGCATATGCTCGCCGTTGCAGAACAAGACGGCTGCGGACAAGGGTGTTCATGGTTTGCAGCCGTCGCTCCCGCAGCAGCAGCCGAACGCCAGGAAGAAACCATTTCATCCCGTGCACAAACCTAACGCGTTGACCGACGTGCCGCGATGGATGCAGCAGCAGCAGCAGCAGCAGCAGCAGAGCACGGCAGCCGTCCTGGAAACCGCTGAGCCACCACAGCAATCCGCCGCGGCCGCGGTCGAGTACACGATGGCCATGGCCGCGGCCGCCGCAGCCGCTGCCGCCGCGGGTCATGTGCCGCCCGTGTTCCCGTTTAACTCGTGGATGTATCGGTTCAACTTTTTGCCCATCGTGCCAGCCGCCGCGGCCGAATACTTCCGCGATGTTCACCACCTACAGCGGAACGGCGAACAAAGTTCGCCCGAAACGGACGTACAACTACCGGCCGCGCACCATCACCACCTTTTGCCGATTCATCAGCTGCAGCACCAACACATCGAACTATCGGCGATCAGACAACAACAGTCGACCATCGAAAACCTGCACCATCCAGCAGCCGTGCACTTGCCGGTCCACAGACCAGTTGTCACGTCGATCCCGCAACCGGTGCCCCTGCCGCTGCAGCCACCGTCCGTATCGTCGCTGTTGCCGCAACCGGTGTGCCCGCCGCCGCCGCCGCAACCGCCGCTGGTACACCAAACGTTACCGCCACCACCGTCCGCGACCACGCTGTCGCTGTCGGGTTACGTCTCCCGACCGACCAGCACTTCCGGTTCGTCGGACGTGTCGTCTTCATGTGGTGCGACGACCAACGGCACCGCGGCCGCAGCTGGCGGCACGACGAACAAAACGTTTTGCCGATCGCCGTCGCCCCGTTCGCCCAGCCCGTTTCCGCTCGCGTTCTCCGTCGACAACATACTCCGACCGGAATTCGGCACCAAACTACATCATCACCACCACCACCACCACCACAACAACAACCGGGGCAGGCAGTCGACGTCCGCGTCACCACCGCCCATGGCCGCACTCGCCGCCGCCGCCAAACTGCATTACAACAGGTCCGCGCAGCAACAGCTGAAGCAGCCAGCGGCGGTCCAATCGTCGTTACTCCGGCCGGGTCCAACGCGTCCGAAGACCACCGCGGTCGGTCCGAAACGGTCATCTGCTGCCGTGGAAAAACTAAAACGGAAGCCTGTGCCGTCGTCACTTTCGCCGGGCCACTGCATCAACAACAACAACAACATTAAGTTGGCCGCCGCTGTCAATGGCGTAGACGGCGACGGCGGCGGTCACCACCATCTCAAGTCGGACGAGTCTATGATTAACAACAACAACACCAACAGCAACGACAACGAGTCCGGATCGGACGCGGCCGGAAGCGGTGACCAGCAGTCCAACGAGAAGGAGTTGTGGCCGGCTTGGGTGTATTGCACGCGGTACTCCGACAGACCGTCTTCAGGTAATCACTCTCATATACATTAAGTCGTTTATAATTTTTATGATCTGGCGCACCCGGACCGATAACGTATTAAAAACACTCGATTGCGCATCAACCGCATTTTATTTCATACACGAAAACCGAACGCGGATCTCCCCCCGCCCTTCCATCCGTGTCGGATTTACAGCCACTAGACCGTTTTCCATTACTCTTATATTATTCGACCGTGTGCATTGCGTTTCTTCGCAATCAAACGCGCCTGTTACGTCGACACACAAATAACGTTTCACAAACGCGTCAATCTGTTTAATAATTATTATTCTTTGGAGCGGTCCAACATCGAACTACGTGTACACACTTAGTACAACGCCTGTCTCGTACGTGTTAAAAAGTCGATTTTTTTTTTCTTTTCGTGCGAAGCCACAATATTACGCGTGCGTATATACGCCACCTCCTACCGCGTGTACACAGTACGTGCGTTCGATAATATTATTGTTGTCTCTAGTCAGCAGCCGGATTACCGCCGCCGCCATCGCATAGTTATGTAAATTACATTATACCCGTTTATAAATACGAACACGCGCGAAATCATTTTCAACGAATCTCGCGTGCGTTTGATTTAATCGAACCGCCAAACCCTGTTCAGGCGGTACACATTCGCATTAACTGTTCCTATTTTGTGGGTACATACCGTATACACACTTGGATATTTGTCTGCATCAGTCGTATTTACATACATGTATACGTGTACAGTGATTAGCGATAAATTAAGTCATTCGACGCGGTTTTCGCGCATTACGCATATGATATATGTTAAATAAACGGGCGGACGGGGAAAAAACCGGTGCGGTTTTCGATTCCGTTCTGTGCGATTATAATATTACAATATTATGTAAACAAAAATATCGTTTCTGTACACCGCCGTTACTACTACGGGCCGGGTCAACGTACACTCGTGATTAGGATTACTGTCGCAATATATGCGTGTAGGCGGTGCGCATTATTATGTACTGTGTGTACGCTCGCTCGTTCCATACAATTGTAAGCTTTTGCGGAATCGCATTCGTGTTCGAACCCGATTTTCATAAGATTTTTTTTCCGTTTGGTTTTCAAACTAAACGATACGATATCGTGCACACGGAATACCTGATCTATTATGCGTACAAACAAGTATTATTGCGTTCGAGAATCGATTGTTCTCTCGGCCGTTGTGTAGGTACACCACGCAGTCTTTCACATGCGCGCAATTATATTTATTTATATATATACACCTACGATATTATTTATACGAAATATTGTGCAATCCACAAAAAGTAAAGGTTATATCTATGATAGAAAGAAAAAGAGAAAAAAATTCGTATCTGTACGCGACTGTGACATTCCTTGTCAATTGCGTGACAATTTATATTATCATTTCGAAACGCTGTCTTTTCGCCGCGGTGGTACATTTCTATATACTTCGGTTTGTGTTCGGCGCAAATATCTATTATAATGGGTACATAAATATGCGCATGTACGAGCGCGTGTACAACAATAAACGGGTGTGTACGTAGAGAGAGAGAAAGAGAAGTATGGGGATACGATTAATATTCGTTATTGGAACGTTTCGCGGGCCGGAATGGAAGAGGAAAAATGAACGTAAAACGTCAGAATAAGGTGCCTAACACACGATATTACGCTCTGCCTTTGCGGTTGTGATCGCATCACGTTCGACTTTTACACGGATTCGAGACAAGATCTTCGGCAATACATCACGAAATCGTGTGCTAGGCATGCAGTAAATTTCACATCGACGCGTCGGTATATGTCGTGCGCGGTGTAGGTGTACGCGGAAAAATTCGGTTTCTGTGCGTTTCCCATTTTTCAGCTCAAACACGTCCCGTACAACGCGGCGAGTGCTTAATTCCATTTATTCCGCAGAGAGTTTCTCGGTGGCACATCTCATTCGTCTGTTTCGCGCGAAGTCTACCGCCTGCCACGATCGTTTATTAGCCGTGTACGACGCGTTGTGCACGTATGTTGGAGATTTATGTCCAAATGTTTATACATGTATGTATTAAGGAATGTATTGAATAACGTGCAGATTACAATGATTTAAACATGTTTGGCCCTGCACAATGTTCAATATAAAAAGTACGCGTTTTTAATTTTTTTTTTTTTTTATTCGAGCGCGTACCATCGATGTAGCGCAAACACAATTTATCGTAGTGGCCGTATTTGGGTGGGAACGGGAAACCGGGGTGAAAACAATTTACGAAATAATCGTTACTTACAGCAATAGTACGCCCAGCTTTAAATCGTACAAAAATTATACACCGAATGCGCTGAACTGTGGAAGCTTAACATAAATAACACACGAAAACGGACAATGCGTTAGAGACGATAAAATCTAAAATAGTTACCTATAATACAATGAGTAATATAAAAACATATTATTTCATACGATTATTATTTCCAAAAATACGTTCCGTTTAATAGTATTTATTTAATTAGTAGAATTCGTGTTGTGTACACATTGCTATGCAGTGTCGGTTTTTGAGAAGCCTTTTGGCTTGATACATGAGAAGGAAGTTTAAGTTCTATAAACTTAATACCACAATGGCATAACATAAAAATATAGGCATCAATAAAAAATTAAAACAAAAATTATTTTTCATTCAAACTTGATTAACATTTGAAATTATAGGAGCACACATTTTTGTAAACGGTAAACAGTATTGACATAAAATTATTGCCAAAACGATTTTTAGTAAACTGTTTACTGTTTCATATTTTTAGTTTTTACACGGCTCAAGAAAGAGGCGGTCCACCTATTCCCCCCCTCCCCGTAAAACCACCACTGCTGTTATGTATTAATTTACTATGGTTTAGTTTAAAAAAAAAGAATTTTTGAATTTAGAAATTTTTTTTACTATTTAAAAAATATAAAACAAAAGTAGCATTAATTATATAATAAAAAATTCCTATACCGTTAAGCTGAGCTTGTGGTGGTGTAGGGAGTTACAGTACATGCTATTGATTTAAATTGAACACATAAAAAAACAAATTAATATAAAGACTTAAGACCGCGTATATATTCTCGTTGGTTTTGCATCGCAATCCTGTAACTCTAGGCAACACACACAATGTTATTATCATCCATTAAATATTACGCGTTAAGTAAGTGCCGGCCGTTAAAGTGGCAAACGATTGCCAATAACCATTCGCAACCTTAATCGAAGTGAATTCAAATGAAAAAAAACAAATACGTTGGACGGGCGGTGATGAAGATTTATCGCGAAAGAGAGATATGGGCAGAAGAGGCGAGTCAGAGAAATATTGTCGCGGGACGTACGTGTAATGCGTCCAAACGCCGACGTACGTGTACGACTGTGTGCCGTCGCCGCTGCATGCGTTGAGATAGTGGCTTCGAAGACTCGCTAGTGCCCCTGGCAAACTTAAAAAAAGTTACCTTTCTACTAACCAATTAAAATTTGATGTTATGATATTTTTTTTTTAACCTTTAATTTTACTAATATTTTTAAGTGTTCAATTTATACTTATTAGTTATTATTACAGTGTTCATTTTAAACTTTGAAAATTTACTTTTCTCGCTTTACGACTGACTAATGATCGTATTTTAAATTTCTTGTATGAAATTTTTTATTTAAATACCCGATTTTCATAATTTCATCATTAAATTCACACGTGCTGTGTACAAATAAACAACATCTACGAAATTTCAAAAAGTTTAATGGAAAAATATCGATTTGATTATAGGATAAAAGTACGACTTTTGCACAATTTTGCGCCCCTTTGCAATTTGCACCCTTGGCGTAGGCACAGTTTAACATACCCTTGCTACGCCACTGCGCATTGCAGTATTTAACGAGCGTACGGCGGTTTCGCGTGCGCTCGCATACATTACAACGTTAATATCCGCGCAGGGTACGACTTGTGTGACGTTCTCAGGCACTTAATAAAACGTACAAATCCCCGAGCGCTGGGGCACCCATTATCCGTTTCCGTTGCAGCTTATCTCTATTGTTGTTGTCGTCGTCGTTGTCGTTACACGTAGTCGACCCTTCGCGTTTCGCGGTGCTGTTCAACGCACGTGTACTACATACGGGCCTGAGTAAAAAAAAAAAAAAAAAAAAATGTAAAAAAATTATAATAACAAATATATAAATGCGGTCGGTACGCCGTCGCGGGCCGTCGAGTGACATTTTGCTGACCACGTTTCGCACGCGGCGGCCCAATGTTTTGATATATATTCAGTCCACTTGTCGTGTGTCTCATGCATTACTATAATCAGTGTCGTATTACCCATTAGGCAGAGTTAGTTGCATATTCAAAGTCAAGAAGAAACATTTTTTCAAACAGTCCTACGTTTTTGTTTGTTTAATGTTCAATTTGTGTATTTTATATTTCTAAATGATTATTCAAAGAAAATATAATTATATTTAGTACATTATTTATTTATAGATGTTTCATGATTTTATTGTGTTAAAATTAATAAGATATATATTTTTTTTAAATTAAATTGTACGCGTTTGTTCACTTTGATTTAAATAATAATTAATTCCTATACAAACAATAACTAAAAGGTAAAAGGATCCTTTTACCAAAACCTATTTTTTCAAGAAGTAGTAATAATAGTAATGAGCTACACAGCTATCAAATAAAATACCTTTGTAATTTATTGTGGATAATACGAGTATTTATACTAAAGATACGTTAAAATATTTTCATTACTTATTACTTTCTTCAGGGGGGGGGGGAGTTATGTGAGTAATTGTATATGGTTCTCTAGATCCCTAATCACGTCATTGATGGGCGCCCAATGTTTAAGAATATTTGAGGACCGCCGGACAGACGAGTGGGTCAGATCAACACTATGGGAATCAGTATCGAAACAATTAAATGAGAGGGACGGAGAAGATAAATATCCGTTTCGGATACACGCAAATCAATTGTTTTCACGGCGAGTTTTCCGCGTATACCCGTCTTCGATACGCATATTTTGTTAAACCAATTTCCTG